TTTTCCCAATTATCTGCTGCTGTGTGTTTCAGGGACCTTTCGGAATTAGATAGCATTCTTATAGGTGACCTTTAACTTATTAACTTGCTAAGAAATACAGCAAACAGGAAAAAAGTGGGAGTTCCTCATAACTAAAACACAGTTATGTGAAGTCCATGATGGATATTGCAGGTGTTCTGGCAGGCATCGTCCTAGTGAAGATTTAAGCCAAATTTCAGCTCATGGTCTAATGACATCCAGACTTGTTTCCCTAATAATTCTAAGAATTCTGTAATTACATTTTATCAGACTCCTTTGAATGCAATGAAAATTTTTTACTGAATATGGCCTAGGTTCGATGGCAAAAGGATCAGGAAATGGAATGGAACGAACTTTCATTGAGTGCCTGACCTGTGCCAGATATTTTGTATATTTATTTAAGCTTTGTAAACATTTTGCAGTCAAGGGAGCTAGAGTTCAGGGGGCTTAAATAACTTTCCCGTGGCCTTTCAGAGAGCCAGTGGTAGGGCTAGGATTCAGATCCAGGTTCATGTAGACAGGACTCATTCTGACTCTGTAACTTACCATTTGCCCCTTTCTTTCCAATAAATGTGAAAGATACGTGAAACAGACTAGCAAGTGACAAGAAGGATTATAAAGAACTGATTGTGTTACGATGAAAGGCAATACTGCTTGTCTATTAGTATGTGATTTGGGACTTTAATTTACCCAACTGTAAGGCCACAGGGTTGGACTAGATGGCCTCTGAATGGGGTGACCACACGGCCCCATTTGCCAGGGCGGCCCTGGCTTATATCCGTGGTGCCAAGGCAATGACTATTAGCATCCTTCCCACTTTAAAGTGTTACACTATGGGTCATAAATTCCAAGGCTGCCTTATACAAGGCTCTTTCCAGGTCTCAATTTCTTTTTTTTTCTTAAATATATTTTATTGATTTTTTTTTTTTACAGAGAGGAAGGGAGAGAGATAGAGAGCCAGAAACATCAATGAGAGAGAAACATCGACCAGCTGCCTCTTGCACACCCCCTACTGGGGATGTACTCACAACCCAGGTACATGCCCCTGACCGGAATCGAACCCCGGGCCCTTCGGTCCGCAGACCGACGCTCTACCACTGAGCCAAACCGGTTTTGGCTCCGGGTCTCAATTTCTATGATTTCCATTTGAATATAATGATTCCTTTGGCAACTAAAGTAACATGAATTTTGTTTCCCAGGTCTATGAAGTAGAAGGGGCTGACAGCACCTGAGGTGACTTTCGTCTGGAGGTTGTTTGCATTTCTCATGGGAATGATTTTTCTGCTCTGTTTTCCTTTAAAAGTACACTAGTAAATCCCCTTCTAGTCAATTTGGTTCCAGTTAATTTGAGATCATTATATAAATATTTGTTTTCAGTTCATACTAATAGTGGCTACCACTTATTGAGCACTTAGAGAAGTCAGGGAGAGTGCGTTATCATTTAGTACACTTATTAATGCTGTACAATAGCTCACTTTATACATAAGGAAACTGAGGCTTAGAGAAATTAAGAGATGGAGCCAGGTCTTCCTAATTTCTTAACTATTATACTACTAGAGAGGCCCAGTGCACGAAATTCGTTCATGGGGGACGGGTGGCTCCTCCGCCCAGCCTGCTCCCTCTCCATTCTGGGACCCTTTGGGAAATGTCCAACTGTCAGTTTAGGCCTGACCCCAGGGATTGGACTTTAACTGATAGTCGGACATCCCTCTCACAATCCTGGACCACTAGCTCCTAACTGCTCACCTGCCTTCCTGGTCACCCTTTACTGCCTGGTTGCCTCACACAGCCTGCTGTTCAGTCATTTGGTCATTCCTCACTAACCACCCTGCTGGCCTGGTCGCCCCACACAGCCTGCTGTTCAGTCGTTTGGTCTTTGGTCGTCCCTCATTAACCCCCCTGCCAGCCTGGTCATAGGCAGCCATCTTGTGAGGGTCAATTACATATTACCTCTTTATTATATAGGATACTGAGATATGTACACAGGCACACATACATACACAGTGGTTAATTTAAAATCACACACAAAAAAAGGCAAGGCTGGCTATTCCCTAAGAAGCTATATTTGCATGCTGCATTTGGATAGTTTCAAAACAAACTCCCTCTGATTTCCAGGAGTAGTTTCTTTCTCTCAACCCCATAAGCATCAGATTTAGGTTTTTAGAGTTTTGCCTATCCACCCAAATCTGGTTCCATCTTCTGAGGAAAGGTCTCCTAAATTCCCATTGGCCTTTCCTATATTTATCAATGTCAGTGCTAGTCTTTATAATTTCATCTTCTGTTGCTTCCACCATCCATCTTTACCACAGAGTAGAAGCATCTGCCTCAAATACAGACAACAAATTTTGGTGACAAGTTCTCAGGAAAAACAAGGTATTAAAAAGTGGATGTGATGAATATTTACTTACTTATAAATACTTTCTTTTCTTCTTCTTTTTAAAAAAATGTCTTTCTTTACCAGAGTATAAAATAGAAAATAGACACTTGCTTTTTTGTTTATATTTACATAGACAATACATAAATAAAAACCACCAGTTGACACTCATATCATTCTGCTTTTATTTATTTTGTGGCTAACTTACAAAGACACAGATGTCTTGGATAGACTCTGTACCATTTAAACTATTCCCATGACTTAGATACCAAAATGTGTTTGTTACATAGTGCAGTGGTATGAAAAATGTTTTTTTCTTTCTTTACAGTCCCTGACTACAAACAGGGGGAAATTAATTTCATACCAAAAAATTCAGGGCATTTTAACAATCATCCCATCCGATATCTGTTACTAACATAACAAAATTGGTATTACAAGTTAAAATATAAAGGCCTAACCGTTTGTTACAAATATGCAAATAATCTGCTACTTAGACATAAAAAGTTGCTTTCTTTCCAATCACAAAGTAAGGCACCATTGGATTAAACATTTTCTAGGTTTTTACTAAATAAAATGCATAGTGAAATAAATACCAAACACTGAATTTTAATACTGTCATACATTTCAATATAAAATGATATGTGAATGTTAAAATACTGTATTGCATCTTGAATACATTACCTGGAAAATTTATGGAAAAACACACACACGTAAGGCTCTGATTTCAGGGAAGAAAATTATTCATTTTTGTGATTTTCCATAGTTGAACTTTTAGCATAGAACTTATTCAAAGTTTTGGATGCAATTAGGTTGCTAACTTTCAAAGCAAAAATGTAAGTGTATTCATGAAACATTCGCTTAAAAAACACATTCTAAAGCCTCTCCCTCCTGGTGGATATAACTTTGAGTGGTGAGCCTGTTTCAGACGTTAGGATGGCACCTGCAAAGTTGAGATACACAAGGGCATTGGCCATTCTTACTTCCCTGTACAAAGCCCACACCCCCTTTTTTTGGGGGTCACACTTTTCTCTGCCATATTTGCTAGCAAGACCTCTTTTCTGAAGTGGGTCATTAGGCTTTTTCATAGGAGTTTTAATCAACTATAGATTCAAGAATGGTATCTGATCAAAGAATCCCAAATAAAATGATGCTGCTATATTACTAAAATATGAGCAATACCATATTTTGAGGAAAAACTTTGCCAAGCTTGTTATACCTTTATATTTCTTGATTCTTTGAGTAAAGGACAAATGAATGGTAGAGGAGGGAGGGACCCGAGTTCTCTAATGTACTACCCCTAGGGCTTTGGCAAGAAAAGTTATAAAAATACAGTATATTCAAATGGGCAACATCATAATTATTTAGACATCCCATTTAATAGAACTCTAAGTTCTTTTGCTTTTATATAAATGAAACAATTATTTCTTCTATAAATAGGAATGCTTCTTTCAAAATTTTCTTTGGATTGATTTCTTGTTAGTATCTCTCAGTTGAATAATACACTGAAACCATGATACAAACTTTAAGTAGATATACATATACATTTGTGACCATGTGCTTTTGAAAAACAAATAATGGCAATTTCAAACATAATCAACTGTTATAAAATAACTAAATGGAAAATTCCCCAATCTATAGCTAGATTAAAAATCCCAGTAAAGTCTGTAAACAAAATCATACAAAAAAAGGCAAGGCTGGCTCTTCCCTAAGGTCCCTTCAGGAGCTGTATTTGCATAGCTGCATTTGGATAGTTTCAAAGCAAATTCCCTCTGATTTCCAGTAGCAGTCTCTTTCTCTCAACCCCATAAGCATCAGATTTAGATTTTGAGAGTTTGCCCATCAACCTAAATCTGGTCCCTTCTGAGTTTCTGATTTGCTACTTTTCCCGGACTACCCCCTCCCCAACCCACTACCGAGCCTACAAGCCTCCCCGCCTGAGGAGCAAGCTGGGCGGCCTCTTCCAGTGGGCGAGGCAGAAGTCCCGCCGACAGGTGCTTCTGAGCCCAGAAGCCCCAACAGGCTTTCGGTTTCTTTGCAATGGCTTTATTCCACGTAACTGTAAACCCTATTAGAGTAACTTCTGACCTTGGGACTGTGAAGCAACACTTGTACACATATATTAAGGGAGGAGGGAAAATAAGGGAGCACAATCTATGGTCAAACTGTCTGCCAGGCAAGGTGTTGGGTCCTAACTTTATTCTTAGTTACCTCTTGAATTGCTAAACATCATTGTGCTTTTTTCTTTTTAAACAGGAGGTATTTGTGTTAGCCTCTAGACCTGCACTGCCCAACATGATAGCCACTGCCATATGTGGTCACTGAGTCCTTGAAACGTGACTAGTCCAGATGGCGATGTGCTTTAAGTGTAAAAAAACAAAACCAGATTTTGAAACATTAGTACAAAAAAAAAATCTCATTAATGATGGTTACTTTAATTGCAGGTCAAATGATATTTTGGATATATATTAAAATTAATTTCACCTATTTTTCCCCCTTTTTTATTGTGGCTACTGGAAATATTTAAATTGCATATGTGGCTCACACTATATTCAGAGCCTACCTCAGGCTGCCAAAGATTATAATATCCACAAAAATGTCATGTGCACCCTTACTCGGCAACTTGTGTAGGTGGTCTGTGGAAAGACAGGAGGCCAAGCACGCAAAAATGGCATGGAAGCAAGCAGCTCTCAGGGACTTGAACGTTATCTGTGGCAAACATGCAGGGAATGTTTGAATTTGGTTGGTTGAAAGCTTGGACATAGTTCATCTCTGCCTACTTGCCATAAAAGCTAGTTGAACCCAAGCAGTCAGCACTGGTGGGCTGTAGCTAAAGCAAGCAATAGCTTTGAGGATATACACAGAATAAAAATCTAGGTGCATTTCTTCATTGGATTCCCACCCCGCACACATACATTCCCACATCACCCTCCCACATCACCCTCCCTTCTTCCCTACTCCCAATATGGAAGGGACAAGGAAGCCAAGGGGAGAAGGGTGTGCCGCTCTTGATAGCAACAACAGAAGTAGCTCTTGGGCTGGGTGGAGAAGAGCAGGCTAGGATCACCTTGGGATGGGAGGAAGGGGTGGGGCACCCCTTTCTCTTCGGTTGGATCCACCTTGATGAAAAGAGAGACAAAACATAAAATTTTGGTTAGAAATTCAAGGATGTGTGCAAAGGTATTCACAACCCTACCCCCTAATCAGGGATGGAAATAACTGGCACAGGTGGATGAGAAGTGAGAGGGGACAGGAAGAAGCAAATAAGGATCTGAACAAACATTACTAAGGATGACCCACCACTGGCTACCCAGTACTTGCATAAAGTTAAGAAAAATTTAAAAATTGCTTTTCTTCTTATCAAAAACATAGTATGCATTTATTATAGGTTTAGAAAAAATAGCTAAGTAAAAACAAAGCAAAAGATTCACCCATGTTTGCACCACCCAGAGATAACATTACTTACATATTTTCTATATATAAAGAGTTCCTTTTTGTCTTCCAAAAATTGGATCATAGTCATTTTGAACATCCTTCAAAGTCATTACTCCTTACACATGTAATTATTGACACATTCTGTGCATATTTGTAAACTATCCAGGTTTAGGCGATTTGCAGTATTTGAAATTCATTTGTTGCACACACATTTGTCTGAGGATCTTACTGTCGTTAGGCATAGGACCAGGTGCTCAGATGCTTAAGCATGCCTACCAGGGCACATGACAATTGAGTATGCATGCTGAGGCCACTGTGCTGGGACTCCGGTGAGCTGGCACCAGCAGATTCCTCAGAAGGCATCTCAACAGTGATCCTAGTCGCCCTGTTAGGGATTTCTGCAATAGAACCAAACCTCTGAGCAAGGACAGGAGTCAGAGGAGAACACTGGCATCCTATTGTCTTGCCTGTTCCTCTTACTATCCCAACCAAGTCTTTTCCTGGGCAGGCATCTGAGGAAAGACTCATCTGGTTTTACAGCAGCCATCTGTCATGGGGCCTTGACTGTCAACTGCTTTACCACAGTGGTTAGCAAAACAAGGGCTGGCCTTGTGCAGAGCTTGAACTAGGTGGCACTGCTCAGGGCCATCTGGGTGCCCTACCAGGCTCTGGGCTTGGAGGTCAAGGTAGCAGGAGCAGAATAAAACCATTTGATAGTACTTTATGTGCTTTTTTAGAGAGATGATCCTATATCAGTATAAAAATATTAAAATGCACAATGCTAGAAATTTAAAATAAATCAACAAAAAGAGTTTTGGGGGAGCAGTGGAAATTAATCCACCAATTTAAGAAATATTTTTAAGTGTCTACCATGTTTCAAGCTCTGTGCCACTCCAGAAAGATGCAACAGTGAGCAGGACATAGTTCCTGTCTTCAAATTTCATAAAGTCTTCAAGACAGGATGGGGAACGGAATGTGTTTAGCTATTAAATAAAGAAATGTAGAGGGACTGGGGAAGATGGTTCTGTAACTGACTTAAAAATATAAGTAATCTGTAAATCTTTCAACATAAAGGTAAGTTAAAACACACACACACACACACACACACACACACACACACACACACACACACGGCAGGCAAAGTAAGTGCATTGTGCCACTGAGACATTCTTTTGAGTTAATAAAGCAATTCTAATAATCATAACCTGCATGTCTTTTTCCATAATAACCCACTTTTGTCCGCCTGTGTGTATTAACATGTTTAGAGTCTATGTGAACAACTCCCTAAAGTGAATTCATTTATCAGTGCCCAAGAGGGAAGAAAAGCAGGTTGTACTCTTATCAGATAGAAGCCCCTCTTATGACGTCAACACACACTACAAACATGCATGTAAACACTCAGAGCTCAAAGAGATTTGTCCAATGTGAACTCATTTTTCACCCCAAATTTCAACCATCAACTTTTGTATGATAATTTTTATTATAACTATACCTCTTTTATTAGGCATCGTCTAGGAATGCAGTATTCCACATAAATGATTTCCCTCGGGAATTAAATTTCTCATTTTAAGCAGCAATATTATGTTTACTTCTATTTGTTCATGAAAATTTTCCTTAAATATTTTCGAATTCTTTAAATTCTTTAGCACAGGCACAAAGCACAATTTGACTTACCTTTGATAACCCAGTAGAAATATCTAGTATTGTCCTGTGCTCTAATACATAGCACAACTCTGTGTCCCTATCTCCTCCTTGGCCACCTATCACTTCTCCCTGAAGTCAGTGATTTTGCTTCTAACCAACCTTAACTTCAGTTGATACTAATCTACGCTAAGGCTGGGAATCAACTAAATACTAAGAGCTCTGTGCTAAGAGTCAACAGGCTCTAAGTATGTGTAAGGAGCTCAGCCAGGGAGTAAGGGCAAGGTGTGTGTGTGTGTGTGTGTGTGTGTGTATGTGTGTGTGTGTGAACATTTTAGGGACATTGTGACAGTTACTTGTCATGCTCAGATGCTTTTTCTCCACACGTTTCTGCTTTGGGCGTTTGGTTCTGAAGCTAAGCCTGTCACAGGTCTGAGTCTCATCAGTGATATATGTATATTTTACGCTAATTCTTTTTCAGTTCTACACATTTATTGTTGTAAAATTTTAGTTTTCTGTTTCCTCTTCTTGTTCACATTTCCCCTCAATGGCAGAAAAGTGATTCACTTCTTATGGTAGCATTACATATATTAGCAAAACAAAAACAAAAACAACCTAAGTATCCAGTAATGGTAAACTAAATTATTATATGTAGACTGGATGGAAATTTGCATCATAAAAACCATGTGATAAAATAGGGAAGTGTCTACTAAATAATGTTATATAAACCCCAGTACCAATAACTTCACTCTCTAACTACAACCATATAAATTAATCAGAATTATTATTAGATGGATAAAAATTAGATGAGAACCCGGTAAATGAAAATATGTGGAGAGATTATGGGTACACTTAAATTTTTCATGTAATACTCTATAAAGCTATAATTATATTTTAAAAAGATGAAGGCCATTACAGTAACTTTTTGTTATAATTAAGACTTTTTACTTGTCTCAAAACTAATAGGAATAGAAGGAAGATGGTTTTATTTGTGCCATCTTAGGAAGATCAAAATGGGGACAGTTGTCTAAACAAGCAAAATAATACAATTAGATCTACTAGCAACCCAACAGTATTTTGGGCTTGTGATGACACATTAAAATAATTGTTTCTTGCCGAAACCGGTTTCACTCAGTGGTAGAGCGTCAGTCTGCAGACTGAAAGGTCCCGGGTTCAATTCCAGTCAGGGGCATGTACATTGGTTGCGGGCACATCCCTGGTAGGGGGTGTGCAAGAGGCGGCTGGTCGATGTTTCTCTCTCATCAATGTTTCTGGCTCTCTATCTCTCTCTCTTCCTCTCTGTAAAAAATCAATAAAATATATTTTTTAAAAATTGTTTCTCATATGCATTCTGGATTATCTTCATTTTCCCCACCATGTGCAGAAGGGGAGTTTACCAGAATATATATGGCATCAAACCGGAAGTGTCTCCCCGAAATCTCCCACTCCAGGCAAGAGGCCTGGATTTTCTATGCACCCCTCAGTTGTATATAAACCAGAGTTTTATCAATTAGAGTAGCAAACCCTTGCAGAAATACTCACTCCGGCTTTCACTTCTTGCCAATTTACTGGGATAACTTTTGGTTGTTGGCACATATGGCTCTGGAGGAGGCAAGTCAGAAATGGGATGGAAGTTGAATCTGCTTTCCCACTCATCTAAGGGAGAGAAACAAACAGTGCCTTCAGTAACAGGCAATCTGCTCTGAAAACATGTCATGTAAAGCACAGGATGAACTAGAGCTGAAGAGATTGCTTCTAGTCTTACGTTTGTAAGTTTAGAGAAAAGCTGGAAGCACTAGAAATGTTACTGACATCGCACAGGAATAAAATATACGGGTCTGCCAATCAAAGCAAAGCGAGACCCAGGGATTTTAAGTAGAGTGATGCTCAGGAGCTGAGGGCCAAGGCTTGAGATATCTCTCTTAACTATTCCTCCCACCAGGGGGAGGAATGCCTAGGACCCTCTGATAACAGAGGAAGAGGGAAGCTGCTTAATACCTCAGGCTATTGGGCCTCTTTCCTACAGCAAACTGTTTAGAAAGGTAGGTAAGAAGAAGCTAGCTACAAAAAAAATGGTTCTTTTCAGAATTCTGGTATCTCTGGAAAGTTAACTAAAATATGACTCAAAGGAACAGTGAAAATGACCTGACTTTTTTTAAAGTAGAAGAGGGGGATCACTATTTTTTATTTGAAATCATGGTGGGCCCTAAAATGGTTAGAATAGTGATTTTCAAATGCTGTGCCACAAGAATTTTTAAAACATGCAATACCTGTCTATTTAGTCAAGGACACTGACCTCTTTTCGATTGCCAAATACAAAATGACAACAGCAAACACAATAGTCATCCAGGGTGAATGAATCACAATTAAACCTATTTTTCTTGTCAGAAAATATATGCCTCAGAATCTTAGTAATTAGTTTATATGTACCATGAGATGAAAAAGGTTAAAAATCGCTGGATTAGATAGAGCAGTGCAGTGTGGTAAACGAGGGTCATGCGAACAAGAATGTCAGTGCAAACAACACACAAATATACATTTCCCATTCAGCTGCTGCTCTATATAGCTTGTATGATTTCAAGAGTCTGGGACCACACCTCACCTTCACATGAAGAGTCTTGGAAGCCATTCCTAATTGATGTTGACGGTGGAGGTGGGGGAGGCACCCCAGCACCAGGCCTGTCCGGAGGAGGCGGGGGCCGGGGCCCACTCCTGGGATTGTCTACTCCTCCTCTGGACGGCAACTGTGGGGTGGCAGGCAGGGCCCGAGACGTGCTGCCATTTCTGTTTATTGGAGGAGGAGGTGGGAGAGGGCCTGGAGCAAAAGAAAAAACGACATTCAGGGCCATACCTTACATTCTCCATCACCAATGTGCAGTTACTGTGTACCTGATGGACACAGGCCCTTTTACCAGAGAACATGGAGAAAGGGTGGACACTTCGTAGGAGATTTAACCAAGCAAGGAGTAGGCATATATAAACTCAGAAATGCACATAGGTATACACAGATGTGCGACGAATGCACATTGAGAGCTAAGTGACTGTTGTGGCTGTGAGTTAGTATTGAGATTGGAGATGATACAGTTGAGAACAGGTGGTAATCTGTTTATACAGACAACTGTACACATACTGAAAACACATTTAATATCCTTTTAAGTAGCCATTGGCTTAATTCCTGCAACATGATACTTATTAAATAAATGCTGTACTAAAAGGATTTTTAAAGAAGAATAAGACAGCCATGAAGTTATTTAAGATCTTCAGATGGATTAAGTTCTTTAAATGGACAGTATTATTGCTAATTCCACAGGCACACAATCTCTTTCCAGACAGAAGTGGGCCAGGAAACCCAAGGTTAGTCATCCCGAGAACAGAAGTTCCTTCTTGGTTCTTCCTCTTTCGGGGGGCGATCAACACAGGGAATGACACACAGCTCATCAACCAGCACGGCTAGAAGTGCTGGAGCAGGACCCTGACCCTGACCCTGACCCTGACCCAGCTGCTTACCTACGGAGCTTGATTTCCCATGTACAAATAGTCACCTTTCCCACAACACTGTTGCCAGGAATACTTAGTCCAAAAGCAAATAAAAAGCAGTATGTAAGTATTTGAAACCATTTTTTTTAAAAAAAATGCAGTGGTATGGTAGAATCAGAAAACCTTAAGTGCCTAGGAAAATAACTCAAAAGTAAATACTTTTTGATAATACAAAGGAACCTATCCTGGTACAGAGGCCAGGTTTGGGTCATGAGTAAAATAAACAAAAAGAAGGAAATTAAGCATTTCCTGTAAACCAAAATGACCTTAGTAACCTCCTGATCTTGAGCAGTGTGCTCCACTTGTCCGATGCTGACATTTTATGTAACACACATCTTAGTGCTATAAAGACAAATATCTCTTACTAACTGCATATTCAGAATCCAATCAGAGGGCCTACAAAGGAAGGACTCGTCCATCGCAGACACCCCTGCCTGAAGTCTTGGCTCAGACACTTGAAGGCAGGAGGCATGCCCTGCCCTGGTGGGTCTCTCAACTTGGGCGAGCATAATAGGAAACATTTCTATTTCCCATTGGCAGCATACCAAAAATGGTCATTTATGTTGGGAAATAAGATAACCACTACATACACTTCATCTTGTTTGATTTGTATAACAGCCCTGCAAGGTAGAGACAGCAGATGAGGTGTTGAAAGTTCAAAAGACCAAGTCAGGAGGCTAATGAGAAGAACCAGGATTTGACTACAAACCTGTCAGATTCAAAAGCCTATTCTCCTAACAATGAAGCTAAGCCACCTCTCAAAATCCAGGTGGCCCTGGATGATCTCGCATATGTTCCTTGTGGGGAGGTAAATTGGTAGAAATTTTCTAGAGGCCAATTTGGCAGTACCTATGATATCCGTAGTTTACTGTGCACAGCCATTGACCTAGACATTTCATTTCTAGAAATTCATTCCAAGGAAATACATAGAGATGTGCACAAATATTTGGTTACAAGAACATATTCCTGCATTATCTGCAACAGCAAAAATCTGGAGATGACCTATATGACCCAGTGAGGGATTAAATAATCAAGGTATTTTGTAGGGCTTAATATTATGCAGTCATTAAAAGTCAGATTGTATCATATCAGGAAATGTTAATGAAATGTAGCTAAAAAGCAAATTAATACTAAACAATATACATAGTATACTAATTTTATGAACATTTTAAAAAATAATTTTTAAAAACATGATTATTTTTAGATCTGGTGGTGGTATGATTAAAGATGATTTTAATTTTCTATAATGAACAGGTCTGACTTATGTAATTGAAAGGAACAATAAATGTTGTAATTATATGTCCTATTTTTTTTGGGGGGGGGGGCTTAATCTGTTGATTCATCTATTTGGTAGAGCCATGCAATCAGCTTGTCAACCAATTTGGGGGGAAATCCATAGCTTTTGGATAAAAAGAAGACACTGCGTTTCACTCATCTGACTACCTTTTCTTTTTAATACATTTTTTAATTGATTTTTTACAGAGAGGAAGAGAGAGGGATAGAGGGATAGAGAGTCAGAAACATCGATGAGAAAGAATCATCGATCAGCTGCCTCCTGCACCCCCCCCACTGGGGGTGTGCCCGCAACCAAGGCACATGCCCTTGAGCAGAATCGAACCCGGGATCCCCCAGTCCGCAGACCACTGAGTTTGGCTCTTTCCACTGATCCAAACCAGTCTCGGCATGACTACCTTTTCTTACTAATTCACCGAAGACTACTTAATGAGGTGCTACAATGTCTAGGGACTGGATTGAATGGATTAGCATCTTTGTCTGTTTGGAGTGGGCTCTCCCTGGCATGGCAGTTTGAAGGAGTGGCTTTCAAACTCTTCTGCACGTTACAGTCACTGAAATATTGCAATCCCAGTATCCTGCTGCCTCGTAAGCAAGCCAGACCAACCAAACCAGAAGCCCTGGGGAAGGGGCCAGGCATCGCGCTTTTAAAGCTCCCAGGTGATTGCAGTATAGGGTCAAGTTTGGGCCACTGGTTTAAAGAACGGTGTTTATTAGGTTCCCGAGGTCACAGGGTCAAAGGTCCGTTAACTTTGCAGAGAGAAAAAAAAAATGCCCCATTTCCAAACACCTTGCGTGTGTAAGGTTAAATTTTAAAAGTAGATAGTTCCTCTGATTCCATCAATAACTGATGTAAAACAAAAAAGCACCTTCTATAATTAGCAGAAAAGAGTATGGTCCTAGGTAACGCTCACGTTTCATTTCATACTCTGAAAGCTACTCCCTAGATTCAGGTTTCTCAGCCCTAGGCATGGCCACAGATGTGCTTCATCAGGTCCTCCAACCCATGAACTCTCTGGCGTAGCTTGAGTTTATGCTTCTGAGCATTTTCTGCCAAGAGAAGGCCTGTACCTTTATCTGATTCTCCAAAGGCTCTGTGTGCCAGAGATGTTAGCAAACAGCCAAATGGGCTCTAACATTTGTCTTTAATATGCCAGGACGTGGCCGGAAAGCTTGACAGATAAAAATAAGTGCAGGAGAAGTTCATTCCCTCTTAAATAACTGCCCTTCTGGTTGGAATAACAGGGCCCTCCTGCAGGAGACGGGAATTTACTTCCCCAAGTTAGGACATCTGAAACCACTTTAGGGAGGCCAGGTTGTAGAATGGCCAGATGAAAGATAAAAGTTCTGGCCTCTTCTTTGTTAACTAGTTTGTGATCCTCTCACTTTATTGCTTACTCAGTCTCCTCATCTCTAAAACACGGACAGAGCCGAAACTGGTTTGGCTCAATGGATAGAGCAATCGGCCTGCGGACTGAGGGGTACCAGGTTCGATTCCGGTCAAGGGCATGTACCTTGGTTGCAAGAACATCCCCAGTGGGGAGTATGCAGGAGGCAGCTGATCGATGTTTCTCTCTCATCGATGTTTCTCACTCTCTGTCCCTTCCTCTGTAAAAAATCAATAAGATATCAGCCCAGGCCCTTCCCTGAGGTTTACACCGGGCAGGATGAAATCGCAGCGGTAAGATGACAGCAGCCTCAGAGTGAGCTTTCAGCTGGGCTCTCTTCAGCCCCTGATCAGCAGTGACCTGGGGGGGACAGGCTGGGTTTCAGGGGGACCCTTCACCCCTTGCCTGGCCATACCTGATCTGCCCGGCGGGTCCCTCACCGGGGGCGGGGGCCTCTCGCTGGGCGGGGGAGGCAGAGGCCCCGAACGGCCAGGCGAAGGCAGGGGAGGCGCGGACGAGCTGAGGGACAGGTTCCGCTGCGGGAGGCGTGGGATTTCGTCGCCGGAGCCCGGAGGCGGGTGGGCCGGGCCGGGCCTGCTGGGCGGCGGCGGCGGGGGCGCCTGCGACAGGGAGGGCGGCCGCGGCGTGGCGGGCACCGGGGGCTTGCTGTTCTGCGGGGGCGGCGGGGGGCCCGCGTCCCGGTGCGCGGAGGGCCGGCTGCCCATGGGCGGCGGCGGCGGCGGCGGCTTGTCATCCAGCGCCCGGCTCGGGGTGGGGGGCAGCGGGGGCCGGTGGGAGAAGGCCGAGGGGGCCTGCCGCACGGAGCCGCCGCCCCCGAACGCGGCGGCGCGGCCTCCGGGGAAGGGCGGCGGCGCGGGCGCGGGCGCGGGCTGCCGGGCGCCGCCGCGGGCGTGCAGGGCGGCGGGCACGGGCCGCGGCGTGCTGGGCACCGGCGGCGGCGCCGCGCTCTCGGGCTTGGCGCCCACGTCGGGCCGCGGCGGCGGCAGGCGGCTCCGCGGCGGCTGCGGCTCCGGGGGGCCGCTCCGGTGGCCGGGCGAAGGCCCCGGGAACCGCCCCGCGCCGCCCGGCGGGCAGAAGGGCTTGGCGGACGTGGCTCTGGCTCCCGGTGGCAGAACCGGGGGGCGGCTTCCTCCGGGATCTGAAAAGAAAGCAGGGGCGGGACAAATTCAGTTAGGGAATTAGGGCCCTTCCAAGAAACCAGAGCCCCGGCTGGTATGGCTCAGTGGATAGAGGGGTGGGTCCTGCGGACTGAAAGGGTCTAGGTTCCATTCCCGCCAAGAGCACATGCACGGGCTGCGGGCTTGATCGCCAGCAGGGGGCGTGCAAGAGGCAGCCGATCAATGATTCTCATCATTGATGTTTCTCTCTCCCTCCCTCTCCCTCCCTCTCTGAAATAAAAAATAAATGTAAAAAAAACTAAACAAAAAACAGAGAACTAGAGTAAGGTGACCAGAGGTCCTGCTTTTGGCGGGACAGTCCTGATTTTTAACAATCTGTCCCACATTCCGCGGTGTTTTAAAAAAAAAAAAAGTCCCGATTTTTTGAAATTGTTGAAAATCGGGACTGTCCCGCCAATAGCGGGACGTCTGGTCACTTTAGAGTAGGTTCCCAGCAACTAGGAAATCCTTTCCTAGATGCTGTTAGATACAGGTAACTGCTCTTTCTCTCAGTCAGGCTCTGTGTGGTCTTTCCTGGAGGAAGGGGAGCAGATCACAGCTCTCCCATTCCCTCCTAGCCTGAGGTTCTACCACCTGCCAGCTTTCCCAAGGCCTTTGGAGAGCTCTCCTGGCGTCACGTCTGGGCAGGAACCCAGATGAAGTTGGGGAGAGTTCCGGAGGGACCCTCTTCATCACGAGAGGACAAAGACAGGCCATTGTGGCTCATGGGACTTCTGCTAATGATTTTCTTTTCTCCCCATCCCCATCCCTGCCTCTGTGCCCTGCTACTTCTTAGGCTTAAAAAAAATAACTAAGCCATTTAAGGTGAAGAAATTAGTAATCTCAGTATAAATCTTCATATGAGAAAGGTTACCTAGTCTCTTTGAAGAGAAATTCCCAAGAGAAGGTAGGAAAATAGAATGGGAAAGTTACAATAGAAATAAGAAGGAATTGAGAAAGAAAGAAAAAAAAAAAACCACTTAAAGTTTAATTGAAAAATTAATACCATGGATGGTCTTAATCTGCAAAGAAGTAAACAACTGTACAACTTTTTCCAGGCTGGGTCAATTCCACTTCAATATTGGTAGGACAGGTAAACCCTATTATCCTATATAATGAAAGCCTAATATGCTAAGTGTCTGGTCATCTGTTCAACCAATCAAAGCATAATATGCTAATGATATGCTAAGGCCACTCAACCAGTTACTATGATGTGCACTGACCACCAAAGGACAGATGCTCCAACCCATAAGTTAACTTGCTGATCTGGACCAATTGGGACTGAGCGAGATGGGTTGGACACCCCCTGGAGCCCTCCCACGGTCACTTCCCAGCTGGCCAATCTCCCGTGTCCCTTCCCGGCCCAGTTATGCACTGGTAAGGTCCTTTGGCCTGGCCTGCGCCCTCTTACAATCATCCTTGGGGGATGTTGGAGAGCCAGTTTTGGCCTGATCATGCTCAATGCACAATCTGCCCCCTGGTGGTCAGTGTGCTCCTGCAGCAATAGCACGGCTCAGCCAGAAGCCAGGCTCATGGCTGTCAAGTGCTGCTGTAGACATCCCCAGAGGGTTCCAGGACTGCGAGAAGGCACAGGCCAGGTGAAGCGCCATCCCCCCAGGTGAAGAGCACATGCATGGGCTGCGGGCTTGCCCCATGCACAAATTTCGTGCACCATGCACAAATTTCGTGCACCAGGCCTCTAGTACAATTAATATTAAACTGGTTCAAAAAAAAAAAAAAAAAAAAAAAGAACTAAAGGGGGAACCAAGGTTATAGAAAAATTCAAACCACCATCCCAGAATCAAAAATTGGCTAGCCTGAAAACTTCTACCAGTTCAACCACGCGATGGCCCTAAGTATTGCTGAGCACCTGCTATATGTCAGCCCTTATTCTAGATGTTAGAGACAGAGGAGTAAACAAAATAGAAAAGATCCTCTTTTTCATAGTTTACATTCTTTTTGGGGAGATAGACAACAGACCAGAAAATTACAAGAACTAAAGAGAAACTAAAACAGGCCAATGAGATGGAGTGCCTGGGGATGCTGGCATAGATGGGATAGCTCTTCTCAGCCATGGAAAGATGCAGCTAACACGGTACACAAGGGACTGGCAGGTACAAAGACTCTGAGAAGGGAATGACCTTCAAGGGAAAAAAACTAAAACCAAGGCCTCTGGACCTTTCACACAGGGAGCATGGAGGAAAGAGGACCCTAGGAAATGGAGTCTGAGCACCATCAGAAAGAGCCTCGTGGGCCAAAAAGAGTTCAGATTGCGTCCAGGCACAACGGCAGGCGTTTGGAGGGATTTATACAGTGGAGTGATGTGAATTCTAGAATTTTGTTTCAACTTTAGTACTAAAAGAAGATGAGGTAGTGTCCTCGACTGTGTGGTACATTTTTATGTCCCCAACTTGTCATAAGTTATATCTTTCAAGTTCATATTAAAACTGCAGCTACTACATCAGGTGGATAGGATCCATTACGTGGATAGTATACTACGAACATATATACTTCTGGTATACCATTTTATGCACCAACTTAAATTCCACCTTCATTTTATTATTTTACTTCCAGTTGTCTTTTGCCTTAATTTCTTCTTTTTCAAAGTACTAAATGTATGCATTTGTCAGCTACCTAAAATCCTTTTGGTGGGTTTTAAATAAATGTCAATGCAGGTCTGGCAAGATAGAATCTTTCATATTATTGAGTCTCGTTCTAGAGTTTGACCACCCAATGCTAAAAGAGTCACTGAGGATTCAGTGATTTTATCTTCAGACCGATGTGGGAATTTCATACTTTCCCCAGTGGACATTTTAAAAGTTCAGAAAATTAGAGATAAAATTCTTCTAACAGCAAACAAGGGAGTTTTATGACACAATTTCTGGAGCTCCTGCGACGGTCAGGAGAGCGCCTCATGCTCTGTGAGGCTCTCACGTCGGCCCGGCCAGGTCAGGCTCCCCGTCTGCCAGCAGGTCCACACACAGTCCTAACGGGCTCATTCCCCTGGCTCCCTGCGGGGCAGACTTAGGGTCCCTGGCCCTGAAATGCCAAACGTCTGTCAGCAGAACACCTTTTTAGACTTGGTGAGGTGTGTAATTATGTTCTGTAGGACACACTCCACAGTGTGTGCGAAGCGTGGCTCACAAGTGTTTACTAGGCTAGACAGCTGGGTCAGGCTGCCTCGCAAAGCAGGCTGAGTTTGCCAGGTCACCGGGCAGTTTCCAGGGTTCCTTTAGTTCCAGTTTTTTTCCCTCCCACTCTAGCTCATCCTTTAGTAAAGTACAGACAAGTACAACTTACCCCAAGGACATGTCTGCTACCAATTTAATTAAAGAAAAAAGAAAAAACCATGCTCAACAGTCTGTCTTACAAGCAAACATTTCAAGCGATCTAAAGCCTTTTAAAGGGCGCAGTGCCTTAGAGGGGATGCCAAGCCTCCAAGCCACCAAGCCCCGGGCTTCGGCGGCTGAGAGAGAAGGGAACTCTTTTACCGTTGTCCCTGTTGGCCGTGGATCTCAGCTTGGGCATTCCAGCCTGGAACAGTCCTCCCAGACCGGGTGGTCCACCGCCTCCAAAGCTCCCGCCGCCGCCGCCACCGCCGCCACCTCCGCCGCCGAATCCGCCGCCGCCGCCACCGCCGCCACCGGCTCCGGCTCCTTTAGGCTCTGCAGGGGAAGAAAAGACAGTCTTTACCCGCGTCTGGAGGCACTGCCAGCCCACCTCACCAGGCCGGCTCCAAGGACACAATAACAATAAAACCTGGGCCTGGGGTGGACAACTGGAATTTGATTAAAAAGCAGATGGTAAGGATTCACCCCACCCTGATCAGAACAGGAGGGTTCCTTCCACTCCTGGGCAGTCACAGGCCGGGTGACAGAATGGACGGTAAGTGGTGACTGGCCCCCAGGCCTCTCCCTTGGCTAGCTGCCATGTGAATTAATATCTATTTGGCAAATAAAAGGACCTTCAAATAAATAAAGTCTCAAGAGGGGGTGTGTGTGTGCAATAAAAAGGTGAGGAAAAAGAAAATTGTAAACATGAAAAGAATAAAATAAAATATTTCATAATTTCACTAGTGTTTTGGCATATTTCCCTGCCCCCACACCTGCCAGTATCTTTTCGTTTTTATTATTTTTTTCTTAAAATTAAGACCAACAGCCGAAACCGGTTTGGCTCAGTGGATAGAGCGTCGGTCTGCGGACTGAAAGGTCCTAGGTTCGATTCCAGTCAAGGGCATGTACGTTGGTTGCGGGCACATACTCATTGGGGGGGGGGGGTGCAAGAGGCAACTGATGGATGATTCTCTCTCATCAATGTTTCTAACTATCTATCTCTCTCTTTCCTCTCTGTAAAAAATCAATAAAATATATTTAAAAAAATTAAGACCAACATTACCAGGACAGTTTTTAGCCTGCTTTTTTCGCTTAACACTTTTTAGCATTTCCCATGTCATTAAATATCCTTTAAAAAAGATGAATTTAAAGGACTGCATTGTGTTTTAGAAAATGACTGATTGTGTTGTAATTTATTTAATTATCTTCTTATTTGATGGCCTTTTAGGTTGATTTTAATTTTTTAGTATCACTAAGCCCAACGGTAGGCTTTCACATTTTAAAAATTCTTTGCCATTTCAGACAGTGCAAATGTTTTATTTTGAATTTATTTTCTTTTTCTTATTTTGTATTTATTTTAAAAAAATAGTGAAAGCTTTTGAAATGGGCAAACAAATGAAGAAGAAAAAGATTACAAGTTTAATCTTCAGTGTTATTTCCCATTTTCTTTGACCTATTTTACAACTCTAAACAGTAGAACAATAATACAAATAATATTAATCCATAGAAATGCAAACTGATTGTGTTCAGTGGAAGGCAACTGATACTGATCCATTTTTCACCTAATTGTAAATTAATTTCACCACCTATTTGCCTATCTCCTTTAAACTGATACCATCATGTTGATAATGTCACCTCTCATTACACAACAAGCAAAATAAAATTGTCTCTTATGTATAACCTAGTCGATATGACTCAATCAAACATTATTCATTAATGAATGATACAATTTGGAATTTTACATAGAGACACTTTTAAATGGTATTAAACATTTAAATGGTATTCATACATCATCAGATACCATCCATTAGTGTACCTTTCCGTAGAGAAGCTAAAGCAGTTGAAGATAGCTTTGTTAGTAATTAAACTGTGGGACTTAAGAGTTAAAACAAGCCGAAGCCGGTTTGGCTCAGTGGTAGAGCGTCGGTCTGTGGACTGAAAGGTCCCAGGTTCGATTCCAGGCAGGGGCATGTGCATTGGTTGCGGGCACATCCCCAGTAGGGGATGTGCAAGAGGCAGCTGGTAGATGTTTCTCTCTCATCGATGTTTCTAGCTCTCTATATCTCTCCCTTCCTCTCTGTAAAAAATCAATAAAATATAAAAAAAAAGAGGTAAAATAAGCATAACCACGATAGCATTTTGATATAGAGCCCAAGGAGGTTTCACCTACAAAAAAATTCAAAAACTATAGATAGACTTTCACCTACAAAAAAATTCAAAAGCCATCGAAAGAGTTTGTGACAATAGTCTTGGTGGCCAAGTAATTGCCACTGAGGATGACAAGGGCATTGAGTTATATTTTGTGTCCACCAAGCAAAGTGGGCAGCTGGGAGGAAGAACTAATATTTTTTTCCATTTAATGGGCGGATAAGTGGAGCTTGTAGAATATAATGAGTTTTCACTAGTGGATTTAGGACTAGGTGCTAGACTGTCCAGTCTCCTTCAACATCTGGGGAACTCACATCCACCTCTCTGGAGCCTAGCCACCCCCTCATGGTGGAGAGAACCACTGGGCTCTGTCCTAGAGGTTGGCCTCTGGCTCCATCCCAGGCATCATGGCTTGATGGTGGTTGGACCAAGGCTCCCCTTACATAAGTGACTGTGCTGGGATTCCCCGTGGGAGAATCTTGTGATATGGATCAAGAGAACTAAGGGATTGATTATACATTAACCACATCAGTTTTGATCTGGAGGTAAAACTGTATTAAGAGTCAAAGACCTCATAATTCCTTTTTGAGGTTATGGTACATTCTTATTTGCACCACCTTGCCCAGAAATAGAACAACATTCAAAAGCCTTTGTCTTGGTTTTCCTCTTTTCCATTTACCCCCCCCCCCCAAACCAGTGGTCTCATCTAATTCCCCGTCTCCTTCTCTTATTAGGCATCATTCCTAGAAATTCCTCCTAAGCCTTTCTTATCCTCCACGTGGCTAAAATCCTGCATCATTATTTACTTGTCTATTTTCTATTGAGTCCAAATGGGATCTGTGGTCTCGTATGAATTCAGGAGACATCGGGCTGGCAGTGGAAATATGTAGGAATATGAGGAGATGGTCTCAGGCCTGGTTAGTAACTATCCACAGGTTCTAGTCATGGATAATTTTGCATTTTGTTGTAAATGTTAATAAGCAGCCCTGGGTGATGGGTACTTGTTTGTTTATACACACCCTGCCTTGTTCCAGAAAGTATCTCAGACTTACAATGTAAGCAAAGTTGTAATCTCATTTCCTCTTTCTCCAAGCTCCTAACATCATCTCTTACACTTGAGTTTCACATTGCAGGCAACAAAAACACTTTACTGCCGGTCTCACTTATGCTCACAATGAACTTGTGAGGACAGCAGGCTTGGGGATGGAAAGTGATGGATATGCCAGGACTTGAACCCATATCCTTTGGTTCCAAGGACAGAGTTCTTTTCCTGTTTCATGCTGCCTTTGGATCTGTGGTGCAAGGAGCAACGGGTTAATTTCCAGAAAGTGTTTGAATAATTCAGAGAATCGCTGCTGTGTGTGTCTTAAACAAAGAATTATTATACTGGCTTCCTGCAGCATTAGAGGGAACCCAAGCCGAAGCCGTGGCCTACAATGGGTGACACAGTCCCTTATTCTGCTAGCTTTGCAGCTGTTGTTAATTGTGTGTGTGTGTGTGTGTGTGTGTGTGTGTGTGGGAAGGGTTGGGTTGAGTGTTACGGCATAAACCACTTATCTCCACGGAAAAGAACTTTCTTCACTTACTGTCCAGTATCGGGGCACTTCTGTCATTGGTGACGGTCTTCTTTAGCTTCTTCCCTTTGTTGATGTCGGAGAGAAGAGCATTTCTCCCAGCCTGCTCTGACTTGTTCAAGGCAGGCTTTTCTGTATTGGCCTAAAAGGAAACCATGCAAACGCGTATTCATCTCTTGAATTCAAATCAAGTACCACAACTCTCAGTGGAGACAGCTGGAACATCGGGAGCTTGTGATTAAGGTTGCTGGCAACCAGGTTATAAACTCTCCACACGTTTTAGACCCAGTGTCATTCTTTTTATGACATTGGGAGCAGATGCAGAAATAAATTACACTTATTTTTTTATGCAGGTAGAGTCAGTTCCCGATAAAAGTCTCTGAAAATCCAGACCATTGTCTGGCCGTAACCGGCAATGCCCGGTTGATGGCTAGAAATGAGAAGGGAACTTGAGTCAGGAAGATTCCACAGGATGCTACAGGGCCTCATTCTCTAGAATGTGTCTGAAGAAGAGCTTCTCTTCTGTACCTTCTGGCACCAGGAGAAAACTGTTCCTAGCAGAACAGGTCGCCTGTATTATTTTTAAATCCACCGAAGTTGGAGAAAAATAATCCCCTCTGTTTACATTGCCAAAGTTTCCCCCCACCCCCTTCTTTTTAATTTAAGAGAGGTTTGAGGTATACAGTTTGCATAGAGTAAAAGCACCCTTTAAACTGCCTCTGTAAACTGTCTTGGGTCCGTGCGTGGGAAGGGATGGACAGGACCCTCCCTCCTGGGACAAGGCAGAGGACACCCAGCTGCCCCCCGGCCCACTGTGCACCGCGCTGGGCAGGAGACATCAGACAGGCAGCCCTGGTCCTGGCTCGCCCAGCACCTGGAAAGTTCCCACATCACTTTTCAGCCAGAATGCAGAGACATTTAACACAAACGCAGGGGCGCCAGGTCCAGCCCCATTCGGCTGCTTCGTGCATGAGGAACGGAGGGCGAGGAACCACTCACCACAGCAAACGTGGGCGGCGGCGGGGGCGCCGGCGGGGGCGGGACGGGCATCTTGGACAGCTAAAGCTTTCAACAGTCTTGCTGATAAGCCTGTTAAAACAAAACACAGCCCCGTGTTAGACTTCTTCGTAATACCCTGCCCTCTTCCCCACCCAAGTGCCAGCCGTCCGCACAGGCCAGCTTTCGGAAGAGGCGGGACCGCCTTGGCCAGGGTGCTGAGCTGTGGCTGTTCTGGAAGGGCCCTGCGGGGAGGTCTCTCAGCCTCAGTGCCTGAGGAGACTGGAAGCAGAACCCAGCACCTTGAGCGGCTCCATCCCACCCCCCCCTCCCAAGCAGGGCCTGCGACCTGGGTAGCTAGAAGGTTAGGATATGGCTGGAAATGTGTCCTGGCAAAGGCTCATGAACAAGTGGCTTCTCTTCCTCATTTCCATGACAAAATCCTTTCTTTATTTTTTTTAATTTAAATTTTTTATTGTTTAAAGTATTACATAAGTCTCCTTTTCCCCCTGTTGACCTCTCCCCGGCTGCCCCACCCCTCAGCACCTGCCCTCCCCTTTCTTCCCCTCTGTCTGTGTCCATTGGTTATGCTCAAGTGCATGCATGCAAGTCCTTTGGTTGATTTCTTACCCCCTCAAACTCCCCCGTCCCCCTTCCCTCACAGGTTGGACAGTCTGTTGCTTCTATGTTTCTGGACCTATTTTTGTTCATCAGTTTATGTTGTTCATTATATTCCACAAATGAGTGAGATCATGTGGTATTTTTCTTTCTCTGACTGGCTTATTTTGCTTAGCATAACGCTCTCCAGTTCCATCCATCCTGTTGCAAATGGTAAGAATTCCTTCTTTTTTACAGCAGCGTAGTATTCCATTGTGTAAAGGTACCAAAGTTTTCTAATCTGCTGATGGGCACCTAGGCTGTTTCCAAATCTTAGCTATTGTTAATTGTGCTGCTATGAACATAGGGGTGCATATATCCCTTCTGATTAGTGTTTCTAGTTTCTTGGAATATATTCCTAGAAGTGGGATCACTGGGTCAAATGGAAGTTCCATCTTTAATTTTTGAGGAAACTCCATACTGTTCTCCACAGTGGCTGCACAAACCTGCATTCCCACCAGCAGTGCACGAGGGTTCCTTTTTATCCACATCCTCTCCAGCACTTATCGTTTGTTGATTTGTTGATGAAAGCAATTCTGACAGGTGTGAGATGGTACTTCGTTGTCGTTTTGATTTGCATCTCGCAAATGATTAGTGACGTTGAACATGTTTTCATGTCTCTTGGCCTTTTTGTCTTCTTTCGAAAGATGTCTGTTTAGGTCCTTTGATCATACAAATTCCTTTCTTGCGCTCCCTCTTCCCCTCAGTCCTACACCTGCTGTGTTCTTTTCTGTGTGGATCCCTTACAACACCTGGGTCTGGGTACACACTGTAGGAATGCAATGATGAATCTGTTTCTGCTCCTGCTCTCATAGTTCTTAGTCTTCTGGGGAAAGGAGACAGTGATAACGTAAGGTAGGCAGGTAAGATGATGCGAGAGGTGGCCCCATTTCTATCTTTGTGCGCCTTGCCATTTTCTTGTAGGATCTAAGTGGAAAAAGGGAGGAGAAAAGGCTAGGGGCTTGCCTGGCCGATGTGGCTCAGTGGTTGAGTGTTGACTTATGAGCCAGGAGATCATGGTTCAATTCCCAGCCCAGGTTGTGGGCTCGATCCTCAGTGGGAGGCAATCTATCAGTGATTCTCATAATTGATGTTTCTATCCTTTTTTCCCTTCCCCTTCCTCTCTCTGAAATAATATATATATTTAAAAAACAACTAGCTGTGCTTAAACCTATAACCCCTGAACTGTTCACTAGAAAAGGGCTTCTTTGGGGAAGCTTTGTGCAGTGCAGTGTGATTGCTCTGGGGACAAAGGCAGGCCAGGCTCTGTGGCTGGACGGGGCGAGTTTAGGGAAATCCCGGTGGGTGGCAGTGGTGAAGGGGCAGCAGGCAAACGTCGGGGGCTGGAGAAACAGCAGTGAGGAAACCCTACGCCTTATCCCAGCCACGGTCCCATCTCCCTTTTGCTTCATCCTCGGAGCCCCATCCCTGGGTCTCATCCCACCAGGTCCCAGCCCCAGCAGCGCCTCACCCACTTCCTCACCCCAAGTGATCCCAACGTTTCCCACCCAGTCCTTGCAGCTGCTCAAAGTGGGGTCCCCAGCCAGCACCGTAGGCATCACCCTGAGCTGTTAGAATCATCAAACCTCTGTCCCTCTCCCCGCAGCTGAATTTGCATCAGTGTTTGAGAAGCCCGTTTGCCGAGTTTGAGCTTTAAGCCAGCAGGCAGCCTGGAACCCTGACCCCCTGAGTGAACACTGTTTCTGTGGAACACGTGTCCCCAGTTTCAAACAGCAGAAGCATCTTCCTTTCATTCTCAACAGTCTCTTAATTGCAGAACACGATTTCTTAGGATTTAAATGGGGTTCAACCGCTAAAACTTAATGTGGAAAACATACACCTCGAGAAAACACATCCTATGAAAGCAGTGATTTTTCAACGGGTGTGTCACAAGAATGTTTAAAACACGCAACACCTGACGATCTAGTCAGGGACTGACCTCCTTTCCCTTAGATTGACAAATAAAACATGACAACAGACCACACAATAGCTATCTGGTGTGAATGAATCAAAATAATTTCTTATTTTTTGGTTAGATCGGCAAAGAATAGAATACATATTTTGGTGTGCTATGGAATCTTAGTGACTGGGTTATGGGTGCCAGAAGAAAAAAAGGTTGCAAGTCGCCATGTTAAAGTATTGCTAGGTGGCTTGCTCTCTGTGCGCAGAAACGGGAGGAAAAGCTAAAAGGACGTGACTGAACTTGTCAAAGCTGCGGGAAGAAAGGAATGAGGACAGTCGGGTGATCGGGCCATCGAGAGAAGGAAATGGAAAACTCCACAGCAGCCAGAGCGGCTCTCAAACCTGATAGTCAGTTGGACCCCGGGCACGTTACCGACATGGTCTCTAACTGTCACCGACATTGCAAACTGGCACGATTCTGCTGGTTTTACAGAGGACACTGAGATGTAGAGAAATGAAGGAACTCACTGGAAGACCCACGCAGTCCGTTCAAATCAAGTCCCTTCAACCTGCTCTCCTTAGATAAGCATTTTAAACAGGTAGAGAGCTAGCTAACTAGTGCTCCGGCTCCCATGTAAACTAGGTCAGAATCTGTTCTTCAGTAAAAGACTCAGACAAGGATTCTTTTAACGTGTGTTCCTTAAATTGGTTTTCGGCAAGACACCAACGAGGTACCCGGGGGGCTAAGCGGGCAGTGTATTCCTACTGGTGCCTGTGTTAAGTCTGTGAAGGGGGTTCCGGGCTGCAGAAGGCACCTTTGGAGGCTGCGGAGTCAGACACATCCTAAGACCCGGGAAGGACAGGAGCCTGAAGTTGGATCCAGGCCCAGCTGAGGGATGCTGTAGCCATGGCTGGAGAAAGTGGCTCAGGAAGGAGGCGATGGGGACGGGACCACCCAGAGGGCCCAGAGGTGGGCTCAGTGGAACAGAGATGGGCTTGGTGGATGAAATGCCCCTTAGCACGCAAATTTATTGTGTTGGATCCCATGTTCACCAGCTAACCTGCCATCCTGTTATCCTAGTACCGAGAAGGATGGATTCTGGTCAACCACCAGGAATCTCTCATGGGTTTGGTTCTCATGAGTCAGTCTCTGGTTGCACAGATGAAACTGAAACTCAGTCCTTTCCATCTTAGGGGCCAGGCTGTGGTGGAGGGACCCTTTCAGGGGGCTCCACCCTCTAAGTCCCCTTTAATTATTGTATAATTTTCTGTTGTTGCAATTATGGTTCTGACTTTGCACTAAGTAACTTATAAACCCCTGGACCACCGAAGTTCAGCCTTCCCCTCCTGGCCACCTCGGACACAGGGAGAGGGAGCACCTGCGGGTGATACCCTCACCTTTCCGAGGGGATGCAGACATGAATACTCTGAACAACACGAGAGGCTAGGGGTACTGGGCCCACACAGCTGACCCCTTACATAACTTTTGACTCTCTCAAAACAGAACTGTTAGTAGCCTATTTTTGGCTGGAAACTTTACTGATAATAGTCAATTAACACATATATGTTACTAGAGGCCCGGTGCACAAAATTCATGCATGGATAGGGTCCCAAGGCCTGGTTGGTATCAGGGCTGATCTGTAGGGTAATTGGCAGGGTGATTGGGAGGGAGTGTCCCTCTGGCACCTGCTTTGGCTTGCCTGGGGCCTGCAGGGTGAGGGCAGCTCCTGTGTTGAGCGTCTGCCCCCTGGTGGTCAGTGCACATCATAGCAACCTCAATTTGCATATTAGGCTTTTATCGATATTATATAGGATACATATTACATACGTATTCTTATATTAAAGAAAGTATTAAAAACGTTATAAGGAAGGGTAAATACATTTACATTCAATAAACATATTTATTGAAAAAAAATCTGCATATAAGTGGACCTGTACGGTCCCAGCCTGAGTTGTTCAAAGGCCAATTGTAATCTGTTCTCTTCACTGCTGCTGCTTTGTCCCCAATTTCTCACTCTCCTCCAGGTAAACCCCTCCCTCTTCCTTCTCAATGCTGACCGAGGCTGCCATGTCTCTGCTCCTTCCAAGCTCAACAGGTGCTTGTCTGGATTTGTCCAGGTTTGCAAGAAACCTCAGACTCAATCCTGCTACCTCACCACTTGGGTCAAAAAAGACCAATCTCACATCTCCCATGCCTGGCCCCCACCAGGCCCATTTCTTGGCTGTCTTCCCCCTGGACTGTGCCCTCCACCAGGGCTCCCTAATACCTGCCCCAAAGCAAGGTTCTCATTAAATATGTGTTTGGTGGAAGAGCCAGGTGTCAAACAAATATGCCATGTGCCGGCCATCGGCATGGCTCCCAGCCCTTGAGCATTCTGGGATTTGGGCAAAGAACCAGCCGTGGCAGAGGGGCTTGCTATCATTACACACAGACTTGCTTTCCTGGCAGTTCCTGACTTTGCTGGTGGAGCAGAACCCAAGGCCTTGGCTTCCCT